CAGTCACTTTAGGACATAATATCTTAACGTCCAGTGATCCGATTTGAACGAAAATATTACAATTCGATTTATCTAATCTAGACAAGTCAAATAGTGGTATTTTCGATCAAATTGGATCACTGGATATCGAAATATTACATTCTAAAGTGACCGATTCATTTTTGTTAATATCAAAAAAATGAATCTGCTACTTTAGGATGCAATATTTTGACACCCGGCGATCCGATTTGAACAAAAATAGTACTGTTCGATTTGCCTCGACTAGACGAATCGAATAATAATATTTTTGTTCAAGTCGGATCATTGGATGTCAAGAATTAGATTATTGGATATTGAGATGTGTGTTATGAAATGACCGATTATATTTGGGGTGCGAAAGTTTATGAACATACAATACCCAATATAAAAGCTCTATAAAAAGATATCAATGATCAGCAAAGTTATCCGGGCTGATCAAAAATTTGCGGCACTTGTGCCACCCGTGCCACAAACATCCTATTCATCAATCGATACAACAAGTGTCATACTCTCTATAAATGCACACACTATATAAATTCTCTCTTGGTTCCAAGTTATAAGACACATATGTATTTTACTCTCTATAAATGCACACTCTCTAAGTGCATACTCTGCCTGTTTTTACTATGTTCCCGAGGAGAGAGGTATCACTGTAATTAGGTTTGTGATCTCGCGATTTGATTGGTGAATGCACACCTGTTGAGGTAGCATCACTCGTATCCAAAATTAGAATAGGAATATGACCAGAGTTAGAGTAAGGGTTAGTATTAGTGCTGGGGGATAGTCTATATCTGGTTTAGATTTTTGATTTGGGATACACCCAAATTGTCAATTGGGACAAATTGTGATTTGGGGCACAAACTAATCAATTCAAGTTGCATAAATGCTATACAATTATAACTACTTTTTCATAGAACTTATCCTTTTGATTATATATTTCTGGGTATGCAATATTCTACGCCATTAGTTAATTACAAGTTTCTACACAGTGTTTACTATAATCGAGTCTAAACTTTTTTCTTCCAACTTGAAGCCACGTTTGGCGAAACCTTCTTGCACGTCCTTTAATTAGTAATGGAAATCGCGTAAAATAATTAATTATTTTAATCGTATTCAATGAAAAAGCACCACTAAAAGTGTCATTTGTTATATTATTTACCTTTACTTTTGTAGGAGTGCATGCGAGCACCACATTTGAAGTCTCGGCCAGAAATAGATTTGTGAGGTATTTATTTAGCATCACGTATAGGTCTTCGATTTTTACGGCCTTTTTTTTTTTAATAAGCAATGATACATACATCAAAAAATTACGTGCTCCTTTTTTAATTAGAAATAAGAATTCTCAGAAAAAATACCTGGACTTTCTTAATAAACTCTTGACTATGATTAGGAGGCAAGTTCTTTAGCACCGTGGTAATAAATAGTTTAGAAGCCTAGAATATTTTAATTAATAAATATTATTTAGTTCGTCTTCAAAAGAAATCAAACCCATTAAAATAAAAAACAAAAATTTGGTTATTGATTATGACTTACCGTTTGTTCCTTCGATTTCTGTCATTATTAACAAACATTAACAAAGCCAATTAATACGTTGATTAATTAATTAATGAACAATTTATCTTCATTGAACTCTTATTTCCGAATTTACTGATTTACCTCCTCCGATGCTATCGAATAAATAACACTACTTTGTGCGCCCTCGAGATCAATTTGTTCGAATTCGATCTAAAGAATAAAGATAATAAATCAATTTCAAGGAAATGATTTGATCATTAATCCTATTTAGAAATAAGAAACACGAATAAAAAATACGGGTTTTGTTTTCGTTAATTATTACCTTCTTTTGAGCCAGATCATCAATACTTTGCCTTGCTTGATCAAAGGCCTTGAAAGCATCCGGGGACTTGAATACGGCAAAGTAAATCAATCCTATTTCGAAAAAAAACACCAATTCAAAAATTATTATCTTTCCTCACTTCCACCAAAAAATATAAAAAGCAATAGTATAAAACGTATAACATAACAAAACTTAATAGAGATAATATCATACCAGTTTCCACTGAAACCTGTAGCCAATTACCATAAGCCAATCCTTGTCCTCGAATTAACCGCCATAAGATACCTTCCATTGCATCTAAAAGCTCACATAATACAATAAGAGGAGCCAAATCCGGTGAATTGAATTCAGTGATGCCTATATAAATTATTTAATGACGAAAAAAATATTACTTTTTTAAATGAAAACGGTTATTTGTAATGGAGGGTATATAGGGTTACCTTTTGCTACGTGTACAGAGAAAGTACTTTCAATCGTGGGAAGACTGATAACGTATCCCTAATCATAAGAAAATCAATAATTTTTAGGGTTTCCATTTATATATCTATTAGATGATCAAAATTTATAAACCTTGTTGCCTGGATGTTTGCCAGACTCAGTCAATACTTCTTGTGCCAAATGTACAGGTTCTATTGGTCGTGTGAACTATCAGAAAGATTAATTAATAAACTATTAAAATTATCAGATTCGAGAATAATGATCATCATAAAACTAATAACTAATACTTGAAGATTCTTGAAATGTTCGGCCCACGCGCTTTTTGGATTCTCAATTTTAAATATGTCACCGACAACATTGATTCTAAAGTTTTCAGGACGGGTAACTAAATTAATTTTTTAATGTATGAAAATTTCCCATTGTAAATAATCAACAAGAATAAAGCGATTAAACGACTTAAAGAAGAGGGAAAAAATTCTTACGAATCTCCCTAAATTTTTTCAAATCCTGCACCACTTTCTCGGGGTTCTCATCAAGCAGTTTAATAACATCAGGCAAAAATTTTTCTTGATGCAATACATTGAGTGCGTTATGATTTGAATTTACTGGGTCGTAAATGATTGTTCGGAGAATTGTTGCTGCCATCTATTTAAGCAAAATAAAGAAGTTTATTTCTCATTACTATTATCGTATTACTGATAAAAAATGAAGGGAAAAAAGAAAATCAGTAAATTTACCCTATACCCATCCCGTTTCCTTGATGGAATATCATTAATCAGCTTCGTAGTAATATTTTTGATACGATCTACCGCAAATTCCGTATGCCATAGTAAATCACGTAAAAATTCAATTGCTTTTGCATATTTGTTTGCCTATAAAAGTAAATAATTAAATACTTTTCACTGTTTGTTACTTTAAATCCAATTAAATCTTACCTCCACTTTAATACTAAAACACAGCAAATCCTCAAAAGAGCCACCAGCACCCAATCCACAAAGATATGATACGGTATCCTCATTCAGCTCCTTGATAACCTCCTCGTACGTTAATCGAGTGCCGTCCGGTCGGATTAATGGTAACGAGTAGAATGAGTCGAGGTATATCTCAAGGTATGGTCGAAGATCGGGCGGGAGCGCCGCTGTGGAGATGTAGATTGAGACCTTGATGAATGCGGATTGGATATCTGTGTTTTAGGAAAAGTATTCATTCTTTAAAATTGTTCTTTGATACGAAATTCAATAAAGTCTTATTGTCAATAGATGAATGAATGAATTGAAATACATACATCCATATTGAATAAAGTATGGTATTGCGACTTTTGAATCTTTGTCTAGATGTTCTTGAACAGGATTTTGGCTAAAAAAGGGAAATTATTTTAGTACGTGACCATCCAAATCATGAGTCAATAAAACGTTTCAAAAAGAATTCAAATCTCACAATTGGGGATCAGGAATATTTCGGCCAAGCACAACTTTAATGAATGGAATACTGTCAACATGTGGGATAGGGAAATTTTCTGTTCAAATAGAGAAAACGCGAATTTTTTTAAAAAAATTAATCTTTAAAATATCAAAGGAATCCTATCTATGACATAATAAACAGAAAAGGACACGCACTAATTATCTCAGGGGGCAAAGGGAGCTCATTTTTCTTCTTCGCTTCTTCAAAAAGCAATTCCAATTCTTTTAGTCTCTCTGGACCCAATTCCTCACGTTGTTTTTCGATACGTTGTTTTTCATCATCGGCTAATTTTTTGGCGAATTCCGCTGATGGTTTGCCTAGTAAGGTAATATGCGGATTATCGATGTAATATCTAATATATAATCAATATTAAAATAAGTATATTGTATATAAATAACGCACATGTAAAAATTCATCAGACATACTTTTTTAAATATCCCACCCATTGTTCATTCGTGAATTTGTCCACTTGATCGAAATAGTGTAGGTCTTTAAACGCTGCTTCAAGTTCCTCGGCGTTTTTTTTTCCGTACAGGAAATCTGTGAAGACAAATACAAAAATTAACGAGAATCTAGATCTATTTAATTTTACAATTTTGAATATATAATTCATTGGATTTTACGATGAAAACTAAAAAAAGTTATACTCACCAGCTATACAAGTCATGGCGAATCCAACCGCAGGATTAGCTTCGATATAATTCAATGTCTATTATTTCAAAAACATCCACGGGAAAGAGAATAATTTCATCGAGTATCGCGTAAATAAAAATATATTTCGCAATTCAAATTCAGAATTACAAAACAGAACAGTATCAACAAATATAAAAAAACCAAGTACCTTCAATCTATCTCGATAAATAACATTCTTCATCCGTTTCATATCAAATCCTTCTTTTGCCACACGTTCCAATACTGGGAAAATCTGGGACGATAGTTTTTCCAAACTTTCGGTCGGCACATTCGAGAATTCGACATAGATTGGTACGCGGATATAATTGGTTATGTGGAAACTGATTTCTATACGTCGTAAACAAAGCAATACAAAGTTTAATAAAAAATTCTGCTGCATTGCATTGGTGAAGAAATATAAACTTTTATTGCTAAATTAAAAAGAAGAAACGAACCTGTGCAAAGAGGTTCCGCAATTTCTACAAATTCCTTTTGAAGTACAGAAATTGCAGAGTCTGATAGGTATCTAAATAATACAATAAAATATAATGTAATATATAAAAATTCGGCTAATATTGATAAAAAACCATTATGATCCTAATAAATTAACACCGAGAACTTACTTGTGAAGCATCTCCAAAGCCATCAAATCGAGAAATTCCTAAAAACAACACAAAATAAGATTCAATCTTTGACATAAATCACGCATCAATATCTTACTATTACATACATTGATTTTAGGGCCCTGCCACCCAATCAGAATCTGACCCATACTTTCGTCTTCGTCCGGGAATTCTATCACCTGTTCCACTGATTTTTCAAGTGGCGGGATGGCTGGTGACTCGACCCAAGGCCTTTTTATTTTGATTATGGATTAATATTTAAAGAAAAGAAACTTGAAATCTTCAAAATTACCTTTTGGCCGGAGGCAACGCCCCTTTCGATGCAATCCTCTCATCCAACGGCTGAAGAACCTGCAACAGGTTTTCATGCGGAACTTTACCGGTAATTATCAAACAAAGATTATCAGGTCGATAGTAGTCACGATGATACTATATATATAATTTATCATGCAAAAGATAACCGGTTAAAATTATCATATATTATATAGATCCCATCATGGACACCTACTTGTCGTACTACAAAAAAAATAAAAAATTTTGAGCAAAAAAATATGTAGTTAAATAATTCATTATTTATAAAAAAAAAATACTTTTATCGACATTCAGTTTTCTAATACACTCCATCAAACCGCCAGTCTCACTACGATATCCAATTCCGGGAGGATACATTATTCGCTGAAACCTATTTAAATAAATCAAATAATTACTCAATTAAAACTAAGGAACGTATGGAAACAAATATTTCTATTAGTTGAAATGCTAATTTAATTAACTGCAAGAGAATTCGACTGTCGGCTAAATTTTGACGGCCCTATGATTAAAATATCGAAAGCATGTTATTACATCATTATAGTTATTATGAACAAATAAAAAGGTATCATACCTGCATTTCACTATAGACCACCTTAGGAAATAATAGAAATTCCAGGAATCAAATTTTATAATTTTATTTTTTTAAATGATTCCTTTTCAATAGAATGAATAAAATAATTACCCCTACATCCAAAAAATTTGTTTATTCAGAGTTCAAATTTGTATAGAATCACAATCATCCCTCGAAAAAACCAAAAACACATACCAGCATCTTCGCCTTTTCCATTAATATGATGAACCTAACACACACCACACACATACAAAAATAGCTACAATCAAAAATTGAAACCAAATTTGTCATAAATCATTATTTTCACCCAAATACCTCTGTAACATATCCACTATCAGTTATTGTCGGGTATAACACATGATCTATATATACTATTTGAAAAATCAACAATTTCAATATTAGTGTGATGTGGTCTAAAAAAAAATTATGTCATTATAAAAAATTATTAAAAAACGTACTAGGCAAAAAATTCAAAAATCCTTCGCTGCCGGCGGTAGTGATATCTAAGCAAACATAAATAAATATTGAAAAAATCAGTTGCTATTTTTGAAAATACGAATAAAATAAAATTTAATAGAAAGAAAAATCAAGAGATACAATACTATAGCAAGTGTGATCGTGATCAGTCCATGCATTCGTTCCTTGAGCTAGAGCGCGATTAGCAAGCGAATCGAGAACACCCTATCATATATTAAAGCATTCAATACCCAAAGTAGAAAACCAATTATTTTGATTGATAAAAAATCATGTGATCTACAGCTAATTAATTACTTTATATGGATACAATTCGCTGCCGAGAAACACCAAACTAATTCGCGGAAGAACGAGATTAATCAAAGAGAGATTTGTGAGCAGACACAAATCAAGACGCGATTCGGTCGGTTATTTGGTCGAATCCTTGTGTTATAGTATAAATAACAAATCATTCGATAAAAACCTGTCGGAAAAAATAAAACTTACTGTTCCAAAGTGTGCGGACATCCATCGTCATCAGTAGCTTTAAAACACATGATTTCATTATATTAATGAGTGAATTAATCAATCAGTCATCCATACATTAAATTTAGAAAAATTATGTACCTTCGGTTGCCAATACGAAATATCCTTTAACAAGTGGACCTAACAGTATTCCAAATCACATGAATTTCTTAAATTTCACTTTTTGATTATCGTCAATCGAATAACAAACCTTCAAAATCAACATGCAAGACACTTAATCCAGTTTTCTTTGATATATACTTTGTGATGTCGATGTCATAGTCAGTTTTTATCGAACGTACGAGTTCAAAATTAGTCGAGGACATTACACTACTATTATTGCTACTTGTTAACCCAATATCTGTGTTATTTTTGCTGGTAGTGTCAACCAGAGCACTAGCAAACTTTGGCACAGTGGCTGATAAAAAAATTTTCCGCCTTTGCAGATTACTTGGTGAGTTTCTTTTATTATTACTATTTAAGCTGTGGATATTTTTTCTTTCTCGTTGTTCAACCAATGATTTATTACTCTTTAAAGAGAAAAACCTTTGACTATTATAATTATTTAACTGTCGTAACAATAACGAATTTCTAGTATTTTTAAGTCCTGCTGCGACTTTAATTGATAATAATGATGCCTGGTTGAATAAAAATCCAAGCATCATATATCTAAATAAATACAAGAAAATTCAAAAATTTCGCATTCAATTTTTCTTTGTGGATCGGTAACACAACGTCAAAGATTGATTTTAAAGGTTAGAATTAAGGTTAGGTTACCTCTCCGACATTTTTTAAGCATGCGTTGCCTGTAACTCACATTTTTCATTTTCTATGTCGGATTTGTTTTGCCGAACTGGTAAAAAATTTGCGAACTGATCTAGAATCCACCAGGGCGACCTCCAAAAGTTTGGGCCACGTGATAATTCTTTGATGATTTCATGTAACACAAATATTTTCTTTGCAATTAATCTTTCTATAGTCACCACTCTTGAAAAAGCAAAATTTGGTGACTATAGAGAAATGTGATTATAGAGTGCTTTTTTATTATATTTATATGTAAATGGAAAAGCAAAATAGGATGACTATAGAGAGATATAATTATGAATAAATGTGATTATCAAAAAATTTAACTATAATTATTATTATTAATATTATCAAAAAATTATTATATAATTCAAACTTTTAGTGAATTTTGTAAATATGATAATTATTCTAACAAATTATTTGTCATTTTATTAAACTTGTTTCAGATTCAATAATAATAAATACAAAATTTTCAATTATTAAAAATAATAATATTATTATATAATAATCATATAAAATTAATAAAGTTTTTAGATCTTTTATTAAATTAATACAAATTATAATTATTTACAAAAATTATTGAATACTTTTTTTGTGAAATAATTAATAAAAAATTTGTATTAATATTTTAAATATATAAATTTAAAATATTTTATAATATATTATATTAAAATTTCAAATTTTTATATTATTTTTCAAATTATTATATTTCAAAATATTTTTTTGTATGAAAGTATTTTTCATTATAACTATTATTAAAAAAACTTGGATTTTAATATAATATATTTTAAAATATAGATAAATTTCTTTAAATATACTCTTTATATATTCTTTTTGTAATTTATCACCATGACAATATTATGAGCAAAATATTTTATAATATATTCATTTTATGAATAATTAACTCCTTTTATTATATAAGTTTATTAATAAAATATAATAAAAATTGAAATTTTTGTCTTATATAAAAGTTTTCAATTTTATTAATAAATATTTTAACATACAGTAATAATCAAAATTAATGCAATAGCATCAAAATTTATTAATAAAATGTGGGTTTTTCTCTTTATATGAAAGTTTTCAATTTTACTAATAAATATTTTTTATTTTTACATTAAAATGAAGATAATATCACATATTTTAACATATATTTTTTAGATTTAATCTGATCAAGTTTTTCTAATTGCATATAAAGTCAATAATTTTTTATAATTAAAACATATAAAAAATTATTTACTTTACATGCAATTAGAACAACTTCTGGAGAAAATCCGAGAAAAATATATGTTAAAATAGAGAATATTATCTTTATTTTGAGATAGAAATAAAAAATATTTCTTAATAAAATTAAAAACTTTTATATAAAATAAAAAATACGCTTTTACTATGTTTAATTAATAAAAAATTTAAGTGATGCATTATTTTTGTATATATTAAATTTCTTAATGTTAAGAGAGTATAAAACTTTAAAACGTCATTTATTGAAAATACTGTATTGATAATCTGGAATTTGTGAATTATTAAATTCAAAAGATTGATTTATTAGTACCGATACGTAGCGGTAGCTTTTCCATTAATTTACTAAGTAATCCAATTGAAGACTCGAAGATCATACGCGAAAATTTTTTTTTACTTAATCTTTCTTCCAGTTCTTTTCATTAATTGTCTTTAAGAACTAAATATGGAGGTGACTGGCCGTTCCCTTTTACTGCTACTTTTAAAAGGAAATTTGTTAGGATTTGAGCTCTAGAAAAGTTGAAAGCTTCTTGTTGAAATGAATAAAACCTAAAATAAATATTACTTTTAAGGCTTACTGTGTAGGACTTGAGCAATTGCTTGTTCAACTGGCGACTGCTACTGATACAGAATCAATAAGAACGGTACGAGTTACAAATTACTTATCAAATAATTTAACAAAAAAAATGTATATTTGCCTTTCTACACGAGACAAAATAACCAACATCTTTTCTACATTAATACCAATCAAAAATAACTAAAAAAAAAAGGCCACAAATACGCTTAGCAGACAATACTTTAACAATAAAAACTGTGTACCCGCTTTAATTGAAATTATTACCAAATCAACGCAATCGCAGGTTAGTCTCGTACACTTGTGAATTTTGATTTTTTCTATTTTGCGTTTCTCCTCTCTGTCTTCTAAATGTTTTGGGCGTCTTTCCTTAATTAATATTATTTTTCATTATTTAATAATAATCTGGTTTATTAGGTACGACAACTTGCAGCAGTCGAAGCACGAAAACGCGTCTCAAAATGGTGGTCGAAAATCGATCAGAATACTCAGACTTTGATGAAAAATCATTTACTTGAAGTAATATTACGAGAACCAGAGTAAATGCATATTTCTGTTTATCTCAATTATACCTATTTCAACTATATCTATCTCTACTATATACTTATATCCAAAAAAAAATAATACATCTTTTATCTTGCTGCTGCTAATTAATTATATTATAATACGGATTAGCTTTATTTATTATGATTTTTAATAATGTTAATAATGATTAATAGACGTCTCGTAAATCACGCAACAGCCCGCGTTATCTCCAGTATCGCAAAAGTGGAGTTACCGGCTGGCACTTGGAACGAATTACCACAATTTTTGTATGATTGTTGTAAGAGCTCTAATTCTGGTCAACGAGAGGTATTTTTTATTTTAATAATTTTTTTAAATCCTGTTTTCGATTTTCATTTAAATTTCTTTACATAGAGTTAAATAATCTAATATTGGGTGAATTTATTTAAAATAATATTAGGTTGGGATCTATGTTTTGTACACCCTATTTGACACGATAACCGATGTTTTCTCCGAGCATAAGCAGCTATTTGAATTGTTTAGCGTGACAATCAATGATCCCGAAAGTAAAGTCGTCCGTGTCACAACTTTGCAGTAGGTTTACTTATTATTTTATTTAAACCAAAAAACAAAAATCGAAGTTGCTAGAAATTCAGCTACTCTACTTACCACATATGTATTCGCACATAGGGCGCTTGGTAAAGTTGCAGAATCAATTGACAACGATCAAGAGGAAGAAGTTGTATGAATTATCTATCCTCCTCTTGCTCATCATCTTTTCTACATTAGAAAAAATTATCACTCTGGAATTTCCCCCAATATTTATTTTTGTTATTGTAGCAACTGTTTAGACAACTTATCCCGTCGATGGTCAATGTGCTTCAACAATGTTTAACGGAAAATGATGAAAATTCCGCGACTGAATGTTTCGAAGTTTTTGAAGCTTTGCTAACGCTGGTAAATTTTCTAAGAATTAAATATAATAAAGAATGCAGTATTTTTTTTACTGTTGAACTTAAATCAATTAATCTAATTTTTAATGCCATATAATTTTTTGATTTAGGAAGCACCATTACTATCAAATCACATACCGCAGCTCATCGAGTTCTTTCTGAATACCGCGCAAAACAAAGAACTCGATGACTCGTTGCGTATAATGGCTTTGCAATTTCTAATATGGGCAACTGTCTAGTAAGGATTCAAAGCCCAAACACAATATATTCGTGCACATATTTGATTTTCACAATGTGTCTTTCGTTAAAAATGATGATTTATTAATATAGTAAAAAGACTAAAATCCAACGACTGAAACTTGTTGGTCCTATTATCGAGCGGTTAATGCCTATTGGAACTGAAGAGGATCCTGAAGATGCGGATGAAGACTCGCCATCACGGGTATTAATTAATTTATTAATTCTATTTATCTTATGATTTCCATTTTTCATTTCGTTTTAGCTTAATGAGTTGTTTCTTGATTGTTATTGTTTGATAGCTTGCCTTCCGCGTGATTAATACCCTTTCAACAAACTTACCTCCAGCACAAGTATTCCCCTTTGTAATAAATCATGTGGTCGGGTATATGCAGCAACCTGATCCTAATTATCGGAAAGCTGCAATGATGGCATTAGCGGTTTGTGTACTTGATTTTGTTTATTTATATCAAATCACTTTTAGTTAACAGTTCGTAATTAATTGATCAATAATTTATATGTAAAAAAATAGGTGTTAATTGAAGGATGTGCCGATTATATTCGCCCTAAATTCAATGATTTACTACTAGTAGTAAGTGCCGGGCTCCAAGACCCAGAAACTATCGTACGAAGAGCTGCGTGTATTGCACTAGGATGTTTTGCTGGTACTTTCATCTCCTTTATCAAAATATATTTTTTTATTAACTTGTTGCCTCAAATAACTAATTCACCAATTTATCTTTAAAAAGAGGAACTCGACGAAGAAATCGCGGCAAACCATGCAACACTCCTGCCTCTCGTCTTCTCCCTAATAAACGATCCAAGTCCCGATATTCCAAAACATGCATGCAATGCTTTAGACGCGATTCTCGAAGGACTTGGTGACGAGATTGTGCAGTATTTGCCGTTGCTGATGGAGAAACTTTTGATTATTTTGGATCAAGGTGCAGATGAAGTGAAAGCGACGGTGACTGCTGCTATTGGAAGTGCGGCACATGCCGCTGGAGAGGTATTTTTCTATTTTCTTTCATATTACTCCTTCGTGTATTATTACTGTTACCTTCACCTTTCTTTGGTTTGTATTTTATCCGAATAATATATATTCTTTATTTCGTGCCATTATAGGAATTTAAACCGTATTTTGACGAAGTGGTAAAAAGACTATATGTCTTGATGACGATAAATCAAGGCACTGAAGGATTATTGTTACGAGGTGTTGCTACCGATACTGTTGGTGCTGTGGCGGAAGCAGTTGGAAAAGAAGTATTTAAAGTATGTAATAATAAATTTTATATTTTATTTCCCAATCCATCCATCCACCCACCCACTCACAACCAACCTCATATGAATCTATGATCTAAAGTTATTTATTGTCGATGCATTTTATTCATAAACTAGACGCATGTTCATGAAATTATGAAATTGGCAATCGACGGAATGCAATTAGATTCTGCGCGACTTCGTGAATGTAGTTACTGCCTATTTGCCGTAATGGCTCGTGTATTCCAGGACGAATTTGCGCCTTATCTTGAGGCTGTAATGCCACAATTAATAAAAAGTTGCCAAATTGAAGAGAAAGATTTATTTAGTATTAATGGTATTATTATCTTAAAATTCCATCATCCCAACATACATTTAATATTATCAATTCGTAATTCTTGTATATTTTTTTAGAAAACCAATTAGAAGAAGAAGCAGAGGTTGACGAAGACATTAACGAAGATGATTTCGCTGTTAACTCTGCCGTAGTCGACGAAAAAGAAATTGCCGCCGACGCGATTGGTGAAATCTTTCAACACACCCGAGGACATTTTCTGCCATATGTAGAGCTATGTGTTGTGGAACTCAAAAAATTGTCGAATCATTATTCGGAGGGCGTTAGAAAGGCAGTCACGTGTTCGTTGTTTAGCTTTTTGTCAACGTTTTATTCAATGTCCGATCCGGCAGAATGGCAGCCCGGATTACCTCTAGTACGTCTCATATTTAGATATTGTGGTTTTTTATAATTATAATTAATGCATTTTTGTAATTTATAGAAAGTGCCAATACATAATAATGTCACTCATATGATTAAAGCTGTCATGCCAGATATTTTGCTTGTGTGGGAGGACGAGGAAAGCAAGTAAGTTTATATTCGATTTTGGTTTTTGATAATTCATATTAAATCAAAAAATATAACTGCAGTTATTATGACGAACCACAAAGCTTTTTAACCCAGCTCATTTCGAATTAATTTTTTAATGAGATTGAACTGTTTATCTGAACCGCTATAATACATATTATTGAGACGAAAAATATGGAAAAAAGTATTGTTTATTATTTAATCTACTTTTTTATTATTGATATTAGGATGGTGGTAGTGCAAATATGTCAGGCGATGACTGAATCACTAAAAGTTTGTGGGCCTGCTATCATTGCCGAATGTTAGTATTGTTCTCGGTCTTATTTTACATTTTCAGAATTAATCTAATAGACTCGTTTTAATTTAATTAATCATATAATACATAGATGTTGACCAAATCGCAAACCAATGCCTTCAGATACTACAAAAAAAAGCAGTGTGTCAACAAGATCAAGAAGACGAAGACGGCATACTCGACGAGGACGAAGCAGCAGAGCACGACGCGTTACTTATAAGCGCGTGTGCTGATTTGGTGGCGGCAATGGCGTTAGCGCTTGGCCCCGACTTCGTGCAGTACTTCAAGGTGTATTTACCGCTTACAAGTAAATACTATGTAGGTGTTTTTATTTTTTGTGAGGGTCTCTCTTTTGATTTTTATGTCGACTTTTTTGAGGGTGGAAAATCAGATAAATAATTTATCGTATTTTGTTCTCTTTGAAAAATTTTGTAATAGAAAAAATCAAAACCAGTGTCTGATAGGTCGATGACTATAGGATGCTTGGGTGAATGTATTCTTGGATTGAAATCAGCGGTTACAGAGTTCACTGAGGTAATTTTTTTTCATAATTTTCTTTTTTCCCGAGATACCAAGTTTTTAACATGTTTTGTTTTTATTAAATAATTTTAGCAACTTTTAACATTATTTATGAAAGCTTTAACTGATGAAAACGACGAAGTTCGTAGCAATGCTGCGTATGCGATCGGGCTTTTATGTCAGTACACGACTGTTAATATAACACCGTAAGTTTATTTATTTATCTATATATATTTCTACATTTGGTTTTAAATGGAACGATTCTTATTAATTTACAATTCTTTAACTTTTTGTTTATTTTAGACAATATAACAATATTCTAGCAGCACTGCATCCACTATTCATCAAAAAATCGACGACAAATGTCACTGATAATGCATGTGGTGCCGTGTGTCGGATGATGTTGGCGCATCCGGAAGCAGTTCCAATTGATCAGGTATTTGTTAGTCGAGTTATTCATTTATTATGGTTCTCTTTCGACAATTAATGTTTTTATTGTTGTTGTTCTTTCGACATCTTAATGATATTTAGGTGCTTCCTGTCCTAATACAAACACTACCACTCAAACAAGACTATCAGGAGAACGAACCAGTATATCGATGCATCTTTCAACTTTTTCGTGCAAACAATAATATAGTAATTAATTTTATCGTTTATTATTATTTCAATCTATTCAATTTCAAAACCCATCGTTCAAATAATCAATATAACAAATATGTCAATTATGATTGCTCAGGTACTAAATCACATTACCGACCTCCTAAATGTCTTTGCACAAGTCCTCTCCCCTCCCGAAGATCAACTATTAGAAGCGACGCGCAACGAACTGATTGAGCTTATTCGTGCGCTGCATCATCAATTTCCTGATATCGTTAATGGGTCGCCACTGGCGCCATTAATACAAGCACAGGCGTGATTATAACTATAACAATTAACTTCTAATTCTTAATAACTAATATAACTAATAGCAAAAATATTCATACTGTATCTATCTCTAGTTATAAAATCATTGTTTTTCGGGTATTAGTATTTGTTTCTCAGATCGACATGATAATGTAATTAATATAGTTTAGTTTGCAATCAATATCTATTTAATACTTTGATTCGAAATTTAAACTGCATACATAGATTCCTCTAGTAATTTTTTTTATACAGCTAGAACTATTTTGGCCTTGAAAATTAATTGAATCTATTAATTCAATTAGTTGTATCAATAGTTATTTTTTGATTATTAATCTATTTAATTTTGATCATTAATTTATTTAATATAATGCTAATTTTATCTGTAATACTTCAATTAATTTTGTATTATATTTATCATTCTTGGTAATACACATATTATAACTTAGTTATTTTATTCATTACAAATCTTGTAGATTTGTATTATTTTAACATGTACAATCAAATTCCTTTATAATCACACCCATTTATAGTCACACCTCTTTATAGTCATCTTATTTTGCTTTTCCATTTATATATAAACATAATAAAAAAATCTCTTTATAGTCATATTCTCTCTATAGTTCCCAAATTTTGCTTTCCCAAGGATAATAATTATAGAGAGGTTTGATTGTATTTAAATATAATCTAATATAGAAAATCAAATAGCTTGCAAGTTATCTTTGATTTTGATTTTAATTATAATAAATAATAAATCAAACTGTTAATTGTTTTATCCTTATTGATTTCTTTTGTTTTTCATATTTTCATATTTTCAAAATAATTCATTACATATTGAATTATTATTTATATTTGTTAAACCTTTTTTATAAATTACTTATACTATTATATATTTTTTATTAATTGTGTAATTAGCTAATAAATATGAATTGGAATTGAAAAAGATAATTAAACAAATACAAGAATAATAAAAAAAATATATTTAAGTTCTATATTAACTTCTACTAAAATTATTATAGTTTGAAAGAAGAACAAAATATAAAAGAAAATGTAAGATAATAGTATTCAATTTATAAATAATATTCTGATTAACTATATTTATTAAACAAAATATTCTAATTAATATATTGTTACAAGTAGAATATTTTATAATATAATTATCTTATTAATAATTATTTTCTTTTATTATATTTAACAATTTTAATTATCTAATTTAATTTATTTAATTATTTAATTACAGTTAAACTCCTCTATATTTATCACTTTTGGGAAAGCAAAATTTAATAATTATAAAAAAAATGTAACTATAAAGAAATTTTTTTTACTATATTTATATATAAATGAAAAAGCAAAAGCAAAACAGAATGATTATAAAGGAATGTAACTATAAATAAGTATAACTATAAAGATGTTTGATTATATTGTCATGATATAACATTTGGCAAACAATTTTATTGGATAAGAAATATATTAATTATTATTGAATTATATTTATTAGTATTTTTATTAAATAGTTATTTTTAAATAGTTATTATTTTATTGGACAATTATATGTTAGATATTGTTGATTCTTAGATTTGTATTAACACCAACAATGTCAGCAATGACAACAATGACATTAATATTTGTGTTAACAATAACAATGACATCAACACTTGTATTAATACCAGAAATACTAATAATACTCATGTTTAATTAAATTAATGACAACAATAATAGAACAAGTTATATCGTATAACATGTAATTTATATAAATATACCATGTATCTTAGCTTAGAAAAAGTAGTTAATAACTCAAGAAATCTCTTGTTTAATAGAAACTTCAGATAACTTGTAAAATTATATTTGTATTGGTTTTTGGTCTTGAAAGATAGATTGCTTATAATAAACTATTGTTATTGACTTGAAAGATAGTCACTTGATAAAATTATCATTTGAATCATAACTTTTAAAGTTCTAAAATAATATACAAAGCTTAGTAAAGTTATTGAATGTTATTCTAGTTTGTTACAACAAGAATACATGTTACTTACCTTAGTAATAAATCTTAGTCTCTCTCACTATAAAAACTTAATCTTTTTCACTTTTAGATTAATAAAATATGTGATTAATACATCAAAAACTTAACATTTATAAAAATAATAACAGATTCTGGTGCTCTCTCTCTATGAAAAAGATAACTTCACACTATCAAAATTCTAATTGAACAGAGAATCCTCTATGAGTAAAAATATTGCATCAAAGAAAATCAAACTTGAATTAAGAATTCTCTATGAAAGAACAAAACAAAAATATTGACAAAACAAATCTTTTTTAATCTGACTTTCATAAAACTAACTGATATTGAAGTTAAAAGATTATTTTAAGAGATAGTTACTGGAGTATTAATAGTAGAATAATATTTTAAAAAAAATCTCAAAGTTATTTTTAATAACTTCAAAGCATTCTATAAAGAAAAATATATTAACTACAGCAAGAGGAGTATTTGTAGAATTATTAGAAGTAAAAACTAAATTAACTGAACCAGAAGTTCAAACTTTCTTACATCAAATTCAACAAGATATTAATCAATTTTGTTAACAAAAAGAAAAACACTTGAAAAAGGTAGAACAACAAAAAAATAATAGTAGAAACTTCCAGTCTAAGAGAATTATTTATTAAAGAAAAACATAGAAAATTTATTAAAACTGTCAAAAATTTTAACTTGAAAGAATTCAACAAAGTGGATATCATTCCAAAATACTTTGATCGAGTAATCAACCAATTAGTTATCAACCAATTAGTTAACAACCAATATCATCTTTTAATACTGTTATCGTTTTGAGCTTTTGCGTATGAAAGTATTTCAAAATGACAATAGTGACTGTGTTCACGGCAATTTACTTTGAATATT